AGCACACAAAGCTGATAATACAGATTAAGTTAACATATCAATCAAAATATATATATCAGTTAAAACCATATGCAAGAAATCACATGTACACTCAAAGTAAATATCACCCTTATCACTGTTAGTGTTCTCTTTATCCAATGATTTCCTCTTCATTAGGAGTTAATGCAGTCCAGCTTTTCTTTGAAGCAGTAAACTATCCTGGCTGAAATATTTATGTGAGTGACAGTTCAACTGTTGAGAATCCTATTGATGAGGAAGAGTTGCCCCTGAGATCTTTGGTCCTTGAAGTCACCACGTGAAGCTTCAGATGATGTCCTCGAATTGTGCTGTCAGTGGTTCCATTCACATTTTGGATGTTGTATATGTCATTCAGAACCCTAAATGTTCCTACAATGTGGTTCCCAACTCCTTTGTGTAGTGTGGGAAGGTAGTTTGCCTCACATTTCAGGATACATAAGATAAGTGTTCGGTGAGTGTCCTTAAGATCTTTTAGCACAGATTGCCAAACCATCAATTGCAAGCTACTATTAAAAATTTAACAGGAAATTTTTTGTAGATTGCATTGTCACAATCAGGTTTTCTAATGAGGAGTTGCTCCACTGACCTCTGGTTGGTGTCTCACAAAAACAGCTGCATACACACTTCAGTGCTGTCATTGTCAGTCTCTTAGTTGTTTGAGTGTGTGTGACAATGGCTGCCACAACCGCCTGTGCCACGGGGCCGACTTATTATTATTATTATTATTATTATTATTATTATTATTATTATTATTATTATTATTAATGTTAATATTATTAATATTATTTCACACTCTCAGAAGGAACAGGGTGCAAGAATTAGGGAATTCAATCAAACATTGAAAGTGTATGGAAAATGATATTCAATTTTTATTGTCTTTAACCAGCAAAATTTTGTATTTGAGGTGTTTGAACGGAATATATTCTTTTTATATTTATACATTTTAAAATATGAATTTGTTGCCTATCATCCATTGAACTTCTTGACAATACTGATATGTTTTTGGGTGTCTTACAGCTTGCAGGCAACTATGTCAAAAACATTCGTCATGTTGAAATATCATGCCAAGATATTCGTGTGGCAATGTGTGCTGACAAGGTATGTGCTAGGTGTAATGTGCAAGTTATTATGGTGGAAAAACAATATTTTTTGTTAGTAACACCAGATGTAATTTACATATAATAGAATATAAGTGGAATTTCCTTTAACAAAGTGAGAAATGAAGAGTAAATTAGTTTTGACTTGTTTTGTTTAGGCCCTTATGGATATGTTTTATCAAGACGAAGATGTATCCAGTACTCCTTTGGATGAAACTCTAGATCCTGTTGCCCCTCGAACATCCGTGACATATGAAGAGATGGTTCGAGATCTCATTCATGAGGAGAAGCAGTATTTACGAGATTTACATATGATTATTAAGGTGTTCCGTGAAGAATTGGCTAGACTCTTACCACCTGGTAGCAAGGTAAGATTTGAGCAACTTTTTAATGACAATAAGTTTGCTGAAGATTATATAAACCAGTTTTAAGAAACTGTAGGTGTATTTAGTGATGAATAGAAATTAAAATGGATGATGTAAATCCCCATTGGCTGGGGTTATTGTAAGTTCCTTAATTGAAAATGAAGAGGAGGAAAAATGTGTTTGGAAAAAGCATGTTCTTCTGTTAGCTGTCCTACATTGTCTTCAATGAACTGACATTGATCAATGTCAAGTACTTATTAACAATGACATTTTTTTGTTGTGATTAGTCGCACAATCCAATCCAATAGAAATTAGGTCTAATTTACATTCATCGTGTAAACTCTTACGTCTAATTTACACTCTTTCAGTTTTCATTATGCATTTAATATATTTTGTTAGAAATATCACCTATATCCAAGTTTTGAAAAATATTACATTCACTCTTACATTCAAAATAAGCTGTTATCTGAATACTGAACACCAAGAATTATGGCTTCTTGGTGTTCAGTATTCAGATATTCAAAATATTAAGTTTTCCTGAGTTCAGTTCAGTACTATAAGATTTTTATATCAAGATAACAGTTGCAAGTTTTGAAAATTATAGTGTGTATTTCATGTCTTTCTATTAGTTTTACGTTATTAATATAAATTACATCAATGAGTTAAATGAAATTAAACAGTCGTAAAGTAATCCCAATTGTAACCATGATACTGAGTATCAATGCATTTTAATAATTAAATTAATCAAGAATTGGCCGCTTGACCGCGCTCATGAAAACTCTTCCAAGGGTTGGTTGTCTTGGTAGCTTTGTTAGAACAGCCGGGCATAAACCAGATGGCCTGGGTTCAAATCCCAGTCAGGGCAAATTTTTTGAACAAATTTAACTATTAAATAAAACTGTAAATATTAATATATCTGGGTACTGGTTATATTGGTGGTAATACATGACTTGAGTGTTCATTATACTAATGGTTCACAAAATTATTGGCCTCAAAGATACCCTAGCACTATGCTGCATCAGGACCAGTGTATGAGACAAAGTGCTCAAGCTTTTTCTTCCACTCCAGTTGACATGATCAGAAACATCAATCACAAACAAATAGAAAGACAATGCAAATACAAAATGAACTTGTGGTAAAATGCAAACTTGTTTTGCAACTTAACTTCACATTACAGATTTGTTAATTTATTACCCAAACATAATTTTATTGGATATTATTACCAGAAATGATTTATGAGTATATATAATACGACTTTAAATAATAAACTCTAAAATACCCACATGGTCTTTCTTTTAACCCTGATATCAAAAAAATGTATCACTTCACATGAAAAATATTAGAAATGTAAGAAAACCATAGGTATATTAGAATACCCTTAGTATATTAGAATTTCCCATTTATAAGAATTCCTGCTTGAATCAGCCAAATGTCTGTGTCCTCAGGTGTCGTATAAAAGAATTCTTTAGTATTTGAAAATGACAAGGCTTTTCTGGTCATATTAACCATACCTTCAATTTATTTATTTATGTATTTCAATTCAGTGATAATTATGTATAGTCATATGAGATAGCATTGATAGACCCAAATTTTTGGAAAGATGTATGGTAAGAACATATTGATGGAGAGATCTGGAAATGATATGGAAGTATTAATAGAGTATGTTTTGTGTAACATAGCATTAATTTTTATAAAGGGTTCATCCTGTTCAATAAATAAAATAAAATAATTGCTTTTACATGCTACATAATTGTCTCATGTTTGTTGGTATATAGCACTAGTTGGAGAATGTTGAACTCTACAAGAATGTAATGAATTTGTTCTTCAAACATTTAAATCTATTTGTGTGAATCATATTGTTTTTTGCTGCTAGGAATTGGACTGCATGTTCAGTACCATCATGGACATATACGAGCTAACGGTAACATTGTTGGGCTCTTTGGAAGATACGGTGGAAATAAGTGAAGAGAAACAAGTGCCTGCCATAGGAAGTTGTTTTGAAGAACTTGCAGAGGTGAGTGCTATTTTCACTAGTGTTCCCTAGTGTAAGTATATTCCCAAAATCGTTTTACTTTCTTGTCTTTCTGTAAAGAGAAAGTTATGTAAAGTTGCAGGAAAAATTGTTGGTCCCTAGTATTGGAAAAGTATTTTTACTTTCTCCTACACATAGTGTATTGCTTTCTTATGTACATAGCGTAGTCAAAATACATGACCAATGTATGAGGAATTTGTGGTGGACAAAGCAAGTTCTCAATAGGATTTCTTAGGGTCCTCGTATTTTCTCTTCTCTCATTCCACCATTTCTATATTTTTTTATCATCAACTCTCTTTTGTCCACAAGTTACATCATCACTTGTGGGCTTCAATGATCGTAGTAATTGAATGACCAAGAAACTCTAATGAATAAATAAACTGTATAGGTTGTTCTTTTCGTTAATTCTAATAGTGTAATTAATTAAAAACTTATCACTTCAAACGTGATATTACTTTCCTCTTTCTTCTGCAACATTTGTAATTGATTTGAAATCTTGTGTGTGTAAATAGGCTGCAGAATTTGATGTGTATGGACGCTATGCAAAGGACATCACCCAACAAAAATGCCGTGATGCATTGACAAGATTGCTATCACAACCAGAAGTGTCAGATGCTCTGCAGTCTGCTGGCCATGGCTTCAGGGAGGCTGTTAAATACTACTTACCCAAATTACTAATGGGGCCTCTATGGCACTGTTTTCTTTACTTTGAATACATCAAGGTATTTATTATCAAATTATGTACTGCTTTTCTTATGAATTATAGTACACAAGGTTTAGGTTAATTTGGCCATAATAACAGTTCACAATGTAGGTAAATTATATACTCTGATGTTTGTATTTTGAAGATGCTACACCGATTGACATCAAGTGAGGAAGACAGAGAATCCCTGGAGCAAGTGGAAGGAGTCCTGAGGCCTTTGCAAATGGAGCTCCATCAGACCCTTGGCAGTATTCCAAAGAGGTGTGTACACTGCTAACTCAATTGGACCCAAAGCTGCAACTATAGCAAAAGCAAATAGTGATACAAAAGAAGCCAAAAATATTATTGAATGTTTAATATATCCTTACAGCACCAACATTTTGTTATATACATAATGCAGTACAGTAAAACTTCATTTGTACGTTTTTCAGGAGACTGAAGGGAAAAAATATGTAAGGGAGCAAAGCGCATTACTGAAATAGAATATTTTGAGCAAAATAAAAACTCAATACTTTTACACTACCGTTTTATTAGAAAAGACATTACCAAAATAGAATTCATTATGCAGTTTAAAAAATTATTAATGAAAAAAGTCTGTTATCTAGGGGTGTTTAACATCATGATTTGCCTGTAGGGTGTAGTAATGCACAAAACATATTCCATGATTAGGTATTGTCTTAAAATCTCTATAAATTAAACTCTGAAGTATTAAAATTAACTAAAATTTAAGTATTATGTTTTATTTAAAATGTTACATTAAAATTTCATTGTGTGATTGAAATTTTAAAAAATATTTTAAAAAAATATAGGTTTTTTGGAAAATGAGTTGATCCACAGTCTCCAGTTTCCTTTTCACAGCTACTCTGAAATTTTCCAAGTCCCGCTACTGGAGGTGGTCCGGGAGCTGACTTTGCGCTACCACACGAATACCACCTTATTCTTGAAACAACATGGGAAATTTATTAATTTTTGGACATCAATTGTATTTGTTAAACAAATACAGTAAAACTTCATTTATACATTTATGTACTGCCTGTCTTATGAGTTATAATGTACAGTGTTAAGGTTAATTGGGAACTATACTAGAAGCTCGTGGAACATTTTCAAAATTTTGAAAAGAAAAGAAAAGAAAAAAGGCTCCAATTTTTTAGGATAGTGTGAAGGACGTTTAAAAGAATACCTCCTGTTCGTTTGAAACCCAGATTTTCCGAAAATTTTGTAAGTTCAAAATTGTACTCAATACTTTACAAGCAGTTGATTATTTGCTTTATGGACTATATCACACTAAATATGCAAATAATAATGTTGTTCCCAGAAAAACATTCTATCATACATCAGAACTATAATAGATGTCTTATCTTACCAGCATGAGAATGTTTGAAACAGCTACCAAATCTTAATTGACAAGTACCCCAAATTATCACCCAGAAACCGTAACATATTACTACATAAAATAATTTTTTCTTCTCAAAAATGATACAAAATGTTTTTCTTGTATATATCATGGTATGGTAAATAAAATTATTCTGAACTCCTTTCGGTCGCATTCTCTGTATTTTCGTAATTGCAAAAACAAAATTAACATTGCATTACAATAATGATACCAGAAATGTTTTTGTTGTATGAAATCTGTTCTAAAAAATCGTTCTTTAAAATGTGTCCTGTCCAATTTTTTTTTGAAAATATGAGTAGTTTTGGTATAATTATATAAGTTTTAAAATTGCATTTTTGAGTTTCCCCATGCTTTGTTGAGTTGTCAGTATGAAAGTCCTTTGAATTTTTCCCTTTGTTGGATGCACTTGGAATCAATAAGAGGCTTTGTTTTATTTATTTGTTTATACATATACACACTCACACGGCAGAAATTGTGAGCCAATATTACGTAATGATAACATTATAATATTACTAGAAAGTATAAACTTTTGCAGCACCTATGTTTTTTCAATACATAAAATTTCTCAAAGAAATAAGTTCTCACTCTTAAACTGATCGTAAACCTTTTCTTTTCTGTGTGCCTAAAGTATACTTTCTTTTCACAAAATGTGATAAGTGACCCGTAATCATGCACATTACTTGATTCCCAAGTATTTGGGAATATAAGTCAGACATTTACTGTGCAATGTTGACAAACATTACAGAAAGAAATAATTTAGCATGGGAAGTGTATGAATTTATTCAAGACTTACAAACAACGAATAAACATGAAAAAGTAGAAATGGAGTTTTACTGTATTTACATTTGCCATCATTACAGTAACAGTGTCTCTTCGTTTTCTTTTTTGTTTTCTTCAGAACTACATTGTTGAATTAAAAAATGTTTCTGGTTCATGTTAATTCTATGCAATCTTGTCTATGGATCACCTTAACTTATCTTTGCCAAGAGTTTCATTTTAAATCATTTTGTTTCATTGTTAGTATGATTCCTGTATTCTGAATCACATTATTTGTAATAAACTGTCGATACAGTACAGAATTTTTAAGAAAAGAAGAATAAGAATTTTTTGACTAGCCTAAAAAAATGTTCTACCAACTGAATTGGTCAATGAAATAGAAGTTCTCATTTGTTATACACCAGCAAAACATACAAAATCACATGGTCCATGAAAATGCTTGGCAATCTTTGGCACATTCATGATCAAACTTTTGTGTTTTATATTGTATTTGACATCATCTTGCAGTTTTCCGAGTGTCTAGAGAGGCATTGTTTATTTATAATACATTAAAGTTCTTTTGCAACTTTTGATTTGTTGAGCTAATAGATTTTTATGTCGTGTAAATGTGAAGTGATATGGTTCCATTATTGTAATAGATTTCATTCAATTTCAGAGAATCTGGGATGCGCATGCATGGTAGAGCAAGAAGGCAAGCTGCATTAGAAAAAACCAATGAGTTACAGAAATCCATTGATGGTTGGGAGAGCAAAGATATTGGCCAGTGTTGTAATGAATTCATTAGAGGTAACTACTATGTTTGGTTTTGACTTGTATTGTTGGTTTTTGAAATTGAGTGAAGCCAGATTTGGCTGTCAGGTAACCGCAAGGTAGTTGTATCGCAATGGTGTCATGGCTTATCCATCATTTGGTTCATATTTTGTTTAATTTCAGTTTAAAATGTCCTATTAAAATATAAATTTTATATTTTTATAAATTCTAGAAACATTTGGTTTGTTGAATGTGTTTTCAAGTAGAAAGAGTTGTGACTTTCCTAATTTGTAGTGCAGTAGTGTAATGTTATGTTTTTTTCCACAGAGGATGTGCTTGGAAAGGTTGGAAGTGGCAAGCGATTGACTGAGCGAAGGGTGTTCCTTTTTGATGGCCTTATGGTTTTATGTAAACCAAACAGCAAACGGGCCTCTGTGTCTGTCACAGGACCTGTAGGTGGAGAATACAGACTCAAAGAAAGATTCTTCATTCGAAAAGTGGAAATTCTTGACAAAGAAGACACGGAAGGTAAATTTGTATAACACCATATTTCCTGAATATAAAACAAGTTTTTTTTCCTGTAGATACCTCCTAGATATCCAGGTAGGTCTAGATGTCTAGATCTTTTCTAGATATCTTAGAGTGCCCGTTTTGAATTTAGAGGTGCCTTGTGCGAAGGGGTACACATCGAAGCACATGCTCAAGCCTTGGTCTAGTAAGGATAGTGCAGTGTCTGTTTTGAGCTTGGTCAGTACTGTTGCTTGTGCGGCCAAGGTGCGTGCCATAGTTTGAATCCAGAAAAGACAGCAGTGCCTGGTTGGAACTTTGAAGGCTTCAATGAAGGTCCAACTTTATAATGGAAAGTGAGGATACAATGCACTTGGGTGCTGCTTGTGAGCTGGCTTGTAACGTCAGGCGCGAGACGTTCTTTGAATGCAATAATGTCAGAGACGTTTTCATTTTAGCTGCTCAGATCTGACAGCCTCTGAGGTAAAATGTTTGGAATTGAAAAAGATTCTTACGCAATGATTGCTAGTGCGGTTTGAGATATTTGCCTCAGGTTTTAGTAGTTTTGTCAAAACTAAAGCACTAGGGCACAGGATGTGTCATAGTTCTTAGGAACAGATCTAAATGTGTCAAGCCTATTAAACTTAACTCTGACTTAAGTACAGCAGAATGAACTAAAAGGCATGCATGATCAACTTATATTTTTAATAAAAATTATAGTTAAAATATATTAATGGTGACCAAAAAATGGTTGATTTTGTTATTGCTGATACTGTAAATAAAGCAAATAATTCAAAAAATGGCCATGTCAAGAAAAGTTAAAATTTTGTTTTCAAAATGCAAATATCAAAATTACCTTGAATTTAAAAAAAACTGAATCTAGGCTCTCGTCCCTTAGTGATGTATTATCAGAACATTAGAGGGCTTTGTACCAAAATTAAGGACATAGAGAAATATAACTATACTCTGGCTGAATATATGAGTTCAACTAGACATGGCTCTTTCTGGAAATTTTAAGTTCGACTAAGTTAAGCTTGATATCTTTGTAATCTGCAGGAACAATAGTAATTGTCATACTAGTATTTTTGTCGGAGGCAGGGGTGTACTTATAGCAGTAAATTGTAAATACCAAAGTTTTGAACTAAATTGTAGTGAGATTGAGTACTTATTCATTCATGCAATAGACCCTCAAATTAATCTTATCAGTTCTCTAGTATAATTTCCGCCACAAAACCAGAGACTATTTTTACATCTTATTGTGAAAATCTAAAGTAATTAGAATTGACAAATCCTGGTGTAAACTGGTTATTGCTCAGGGATTCTACTTACCTAATGCTTTCATGGCAAATAATGAATTTGCATGTAACTATTCTTTTTGTAGTGACTCTACTTCACGAGAGAGAATTGTGTTAGGCATTAGCAGACATCTTAAGTTATTAAATCTTTCCAAATTAATAAGATAAACGTAAAAATTTCATTCTTGACTTAATTTTTTCTATTCATGACAAACACTATGCATCATGTAAGTGATTACAATGTATCTGCTGATGCTCATCACCCATCTCTATGCGTTACCTATTTGTCCTTGTTATATACGACATTGTGTTTATGACAATTAGTGTTGCGACTTAAAACCAATCTGTTTTTGTCTCCATATCACATTACTTGCAGAATTACATTCATGGATGGTCAGCTTGTGATTTGAACTGTGAAGATTTAACTTCATTTTATTTTTATTTGTACCGTTGTATAGATAGTTTCATACCGAAAAAGAAGAAGTCAATATGAATTTTTTTCCGTGGTACAGTAGGCAACTCAAAACTTCAATTTTTTGTAAAAAAGAGGCTCATAATTGCTATAAAAATGTAATTCACCTTTATACTTCTCCCTCTTTTCTAATTTGTGGCATCAGTGAAAACTGCTAACCAAAAGAGACTTGTACATTTCACAATAATCTACAAAACATTTTATCCTTAGAAATTTCTTTACAAGTGGTTTCTGTGCAGGTGGGGTGAAAGGTATGGTTCTGTATGGTAGGGAAAACCTTTCACACTCTAATTGAAACTGTGAGCAGGTACAGGCAGGAAGAGGCAGATACCCAAGAAAATATTTGTTTCTGGTTGTGGTGCATGTTATAAAACAAGGGTTTCGAAGTGAGTTTCAGGTGAAATGTTTGGGAGGTTCATCCTCCATTACCGTTTTTTAAATAGCCCTTAAATACTGCATTCTCTGGAATGGATTTAAGAGTTAATAAATACTTTTTGTAACCTGTAAAAGAAATTATTTATAAACCAATCTTATTTCTTGACAGCATAAAAATATTGCAGATGAGAACAGTTTGTAGGTACAGTAATTGAAGATGATGAAATATTCACTGGAACTTAATTTTTTCATTGTAGAATTGAAGAATGCATTTGAGATTGCTCCTCGTGTGCAACCTAATGTCATGTTGGTAGCAAAGACAGCAGAAGAAAAAAACAATTGGATGGCTGATCTTGTGATGCTAAACACAAAAAGGTATGCAATATATTTATTTTGATTTAAGTTCGTTAGTAAATAATTACAAATATTCCTGAATTATATGTATGGATATCATTTACTCGACCAAAAATCTGTGGCCGGATGCTGTTTGAAATGTGCAGTAATTTTTGTTTTATTTTGAGAGTACCAAATTTTTATTATTAGTTCTATGGATATCACTAAAATACTTAAAATTATATCAAGAAATTGTATGTATTGTGAAAAGTTCTGGATTAGTGTCCTTCACTACCTACAATACAATGTTTTGGGTAAAGTTTTTGGCACGTGCCCATTTCAAGTATAGTTAGACAAATTGGATGATACATATTATGACATGTAAAGGGCAATTTTAGTATTTTATTGTATCACCCCTTGTGGATTAGTGAATTCATTTCAAACATTCTTTGCGGCTAATTTACAAGGTTGAAATATTGAATTGTGTTATTCCTTAACTTGCCACATTTACGCTATGGACAAAACCATGGGGTGATGACAACTTCCTAAGAATTGTACACGGTTGTGCAAACTAATATTTTTCAATGAACTGTGGACGTTTATGGTATGACTAATTTATGTTGTTAGCATGTTGGAGCGAACCCTGGATAGCATTTTGCTTGATGAAGAGAAGAAACATCCTCTGCGACTTCCTTCTCCTGATATGTATTTATTTGCGGAAGCTGACTCTAACTCTAATATTGTTCTTGAAGAACGTGAAAATGCAGGAGTACCTCTCATCAAGGTAGATGTCACTAATAGAATTTTTTTTCAAATATAGAAGTTAGTTATATCTGATAATGAAATGTGAGAATAGTACTGTTTTAACTGTTGTTTGTTGTTGGTTTTTCCATTGAAAATTAGTCTTTCTTATTTTTAATATACTTGTTTTTACAGGGTGCTACTCTTCACAAATTAGTGGAGCGACTTACCTATCATATTTATGCAGATCTTAAGTTTGTGCGAACATTCCTCACCACATACCGCAGCTTTTGTTCACCACAGGTAAATATATTGATGCAAGAATTGTTTTTTTGTTGGTTTCGTTTAAATTCAGTGGTATGAATACAAAATAATTTGACAAAGACTGTGGGCAAATAGTATGTTGGAAAAAAGAATGTAATTTAGATAAATCTTCAATTATTATTTTTTTAAGAATAATTTTTCATCAATTTCCCATTATCCCGGAAATCTATTTGAAATAAAGGGTGGGATTGCAGTTCATTCAAAACTATCAAAGATAATTCAATTGCAGATATCATGCATATTTGAGCGTGTAATTAGTTCATGTTCATGAACCAGCTTAAGTGTTTAGCCTGTGTCAATCACATTATTATTTTGATCAAAGAATTGAAAGGAATTTAAATTCATGTATAAAGTAAGAATGATAGTACAATTAAAAAAACTTGTTTTGTCTTGGCAAGAATGCGTGAAGTTGGCCATGTAGATAATGTGAAGTCCAATACTAAAAGCCCAAAGTAATTAATGTATGAAAGAGATCAAGGTGTTGTTATTTACAAAAACTTTTAAGCTATCAGCTTTTATTACTATTGCCAATGTAATTTTATTTTATAAGTATTTGATAACTGAACACCTATTTTTTGATTTCATAGGACTTGTTATGTCTCTTGGTGGAACGTTTTAACATTCCTGATCCTTCACTTGTGTATGACGACAATAAGGATTCTCTTGATAGTGAGAAAGCATTAAATTCACAGAGAGAAGACTGGAAGCGATATCGCAAAGAATATTGTCAACCCATTCAGTTCAGGTTTGTTTTCTTATAATTATTTTTGGAGGAAATACTGTAACACTTCATTTGTACGTTTCTCACAGATATGTTTTTTTGGCAAGTCCTGGATAAATTCTTATAATTCCCACGCTAAATTATTTTAGTTTGCGGTTTAGGTTTATCACATTTATACATTAATAATAATAAGAGTCCCTCTAAAACTGTATTATGTTCAAATGATCCTGGTGAAGCACGGGGCCACCTGTGCTGAGAGCCTGTAACTTGCATGTTACATGTTGCTAATGAAACTGATCGCTTTTCTGTGGTGCGCTTTGCTGCGGGTGGGTGTCGCCAGGTTGTGGGGCTGTGGTAGTCGTGTGCTTCCTGTTGCTCATGTAGAACACAGTACTTCGACTTGTGCAATCTCAAGTAATATCAAACATTAAAACAAAGCCACCACCTGTGGGTTGCTGCCATCAATTGTAACCCACACAGGACATGGCCTTCGTTTCCGAAGTGAAACGGAGTCTCAAAAGATCATCAGTAAGGTCCCTATTGCTTGTCCTTTCTTAACGAAAAAGAGTACTAGGAAAAGGCAACCCTTTTCAATAAGAGATAAAAATAAAAATTTTAGAAGTTGTTAGAGAGAGTGGCAATAAAAAAGGAGTAGATATTGCTAAACAACTGGGGAAACTGGTAAAATGATAGTGCATAAATATGGAGTTTTTATTTTGCTCCTAATAATCAATTTCAGTTGAGGCTTTTCTCACATACCATTTTTTCCCTTCAGTACCCTGAAAAAGTATAAGTGAAGTTTTACTGTATCAATCATTTTTTGGGAAATGATATGGTGACAGGTTGAGAAAAGGGATATACTAGTGACACGTCATTTTACAGAGTATGATATTTACTTATTCATAGATTGTGTCTCCGCATCTGCAGTATGAGCCTTACAAAAGCAGCACTGTGGTTTGAAACTTAGGAGTTGTCCATAAATTACGAAATGTTAAACAAGGGGAAGGGATTTTAGAGGGAATAATATGCTGCATTAAATAGGAGTAGGTGGGATGTTCATTTAGTGTTAACATAATTTTTCGGCCGGTTTCACCAAACAAAGAGTAAGAGTTTACTCTGGTGTAAATCATGTTTACTCGAGAGTAACTTCTTGGAGCGTTTCACCAACACTTCACTAGAGTGTAAATCGCTTATGCGAGAGTAAATTTGAGAGTAACTTTACACTGCGAAAATCCGTCGGCTAAAGTACGGAGTAAATTCAGTTCTCAACGTGCATGTACCTTCGAAGTGTTGTTACGGCTCGACGATTACGAATTTGAACGAATTGACGAATTACGTATTTGAAGACGATTCCAGCAATGATTCGGAATATTATCCACTAGTGCGAAGACAAAAGGTGCGAGAGAGAATGGATTGGTTTTAATTATGACGATTGAGATTTTGTCATGAGGTTACGTTTGACCAAATCAGCTGTTTAACTTCATCAGATTCATTGGAAACTATAGAGAACGTCTAAGTTTCTTTTTCTCCCATGTGGATACGATATAATGGTAGTACATACCAAAGACAATAACAAAAGGAAAAATAATAACTACAGGGACTACAAGTACTAAGAAATATTCATTTATTTATTCAGTAAAAACTGTATGTGAGGTATGGGGGAGATCATTTGCGCACGTTTTCTTGCGTTCCAGAATCCCTTTCCAACATTTTAACTCAAACACTTGAAAAGTGAATAAAAGTTTAAAAAATTAAACAACAAATAATAAAATTTAGAAAAAAAGAAAACCACAAATAAGAAATTTAAAATTTAGATCAAGAAATTTAGATCAGCAACATTTGAAAAACTAAACATTTTCATTCCCTAGTTATAGAAAATTCTTTTGCACCGCCATTGGTAAACGAACTGCAAATTTGATTTTTCTGCATTGCTAACAAAATAGTAACTCAACTCATCTCCAGAGAAGAAGAATGAATATTTATTAAGAAATAAAGATACAGAAACTAGGAAATAAACTATGCTAACTCAAACCACCATAACATCACACCAGATTATAATGCTAAGATCTCCAAAACTGAAATGATACAATATAATGAATTAATCAAAGGTTCGCGTTGGTCCGCATTGGTTCCCAGCATCATTCTCACTTACAGCCTCTTGAATCGCTCTCAAATATTGTGTGTTCAGCTGATTTGCGGAGTAAAATAACCCTCTAGAAGCATGGTGAAACACTCATATTCTACTCAAGAGTTACTATCTTAGAGTAAACGGTTACTGTCAGGTAAAACCGGCCCTTAATGTTTTTTCTCGAAGATAATAAAAATAATTCCTTTTATTCTCCCTTATGTCACAACAAAACATTCACTTTCACTGCCAAACACATCATTAATTATTATTATGCCAACATTATTAGTTTTCTGCTCTGCCACTAACAAGCATATTGATGTTTTTAGCATGTGTATTCAAATAATATGTTAGTTCTGTTGGATCACGTTCAAATGCAGAGATTTTTTTACTGATGAACATTGAAACAGTGATCTTTCGATATCCATATATTTAATCGAAATATGTTGCTTTTATCATAATGATATCACTGAGAAAAGGGCTGCTTGTATAAGTGCCAGTAGTGATAGATCTCAGTATCCTGAGAAAATTCCCTTCGTAGTAGACGCGAAATTTGTGACAATGTTTCTGGGTAAGAAAATGTGATCTTATTTGATAATAGTGATAATGATTTGGAAGTTGGTGAGAGTAGTTGCATGAAAACAATTGCGGCACTTCAAACTGCTTGTATAGAAAAAAATAAAAGTTCCGCAAAATTCCTGTGTATTGATTGTAAAATTCCGTTGCATCCTGCTGATTGTTAGACAGCTCATCGATAAAATCTATTAAGTATATCCTGAAAGAAAATTAAAAACATATATACGATAGTTCCCAAAATATGTGAATTTGTATCCTACCCAGTGAAATTTCTCCTACTTGTCAAATATGACTGGCACAAATATAAATGACCACCAGAATGCCTGGCAAGGAAAGTGTTCAAATGTTACTAAATGAAATTTAAAAATATAAAAAATACATTGAAAAGTCTCGATGTATTAATTGTTATAATAAGTGGAAATACTTTTTCATCAATGAAAAAATGTTTGGTAATTACCATATATACTCAAATGACCTCTGTGTATTTTTTTCAAAAATTGGTAGTTGAAAATTGGGGTGCAGGTATTATTTGTGGCAAAGTTGTGCCACGAACTTGAAGCATGTTGCACATGGTTTCATGGTGGTGTGGGTTAGTATAGCAGAAATATTCACCACCATTCACTAATAATGGTGTCTGCAAATTCCTGCAAGAGATTTTTCACCTCAAAAGAAAATTTCACTTCATAGAAGAAACAGAACAAAGTATGATGTGGATGAAAGTTGCATTCGTGATTGTGTAAGAACAAAACTCAACTTGAGTTCTTTTTCTTTTATTGCAGACGCAGAATTGTGTTTCAACTTAATATAATAGATTAATGGAACTATTTTTTGTTTTAAAAGTACAAAAAAGTTTGTGTTTTTTTTAGGATTATTTTCTGTAATATTAGAGTGCAGGTGTTTTTTGAGGGTGGGGATAATTCAATTATGTGTAGTATTTGGGGGAGGGGGGTATTCAAAATACTCCACTTTTTGTGTTACATAATTTATGGCCAGCCAATATACGCATGGACATGCTTAAAATGGAGAGCACAGAATTCAGCACAGAATTACCATTGTTTACAAAGCACAACCAGAAAGTAAGTTTTCCTAGGTCATCAACAACAAGAAATCACAATTTATAACTTCATTGTGTCAGAATCAGCACATGTTGCACTTTTTATATATTTACCAGGATTGAGACATTTTTAAAGTCAAGAGATCAAAATTTGTACCAGTGTTTGACAGCCAGCTACAACTCTGATACATCTGTGTCACTGTGTTATGCATAATGCTGACTGGACAAGAATTTCTTGACATGTAAGGAAAGATGAAATCACTGAGGGATGAGATATCGACTACGTAAAGGGAGTATAGTCAAACACTTCCCATAGGAACTACTGTAGGAGATTTTTGTGAGCCAAAGGTATTGTTGACCCAATGACAAAGTCATACACCAAGTACCAAGATCCCAAAATAGAGATTGAAAAGAAAATGTCACAAAATGGTTGGTGTGTCGTTGATTAAATGAGCAATAATTGTTTGGTATAAAAAGGTTGAGATTCATAGGATGTTTATTTTAAAAATGCAAACTGCATGGCTTGTTTTGTGATAATTATCATCCTTCTTTAAAGTTCTAAGAAATGCTTTTCGTTGACACTGAATTTTTGAAGTTTCAAATACATTACTATTATGATGACGATAAAATATTCTTAGCAATAAAATTATAACAAATGTTCACAATCCCCCAAATTAGGATCACAGTACAAACTTAATGGGTTCTGGGGAAAGAAATGAAGATGGAGTTAGTTTTTATGAAATTTCATATAGGCAATAAATATCTTAAGTTTTTTGAAGGTAAAGGGTACAAAATTTCTGGAAAAACAGATTAAAACTTTTTTTTTAAAGTTCTCTAACATATTTCTTTAACCTAGATTATATCCAATAAAATACTCTAGCTTTCAGAGAAACTACATTAAAATTGGTGTAACCGTTCCTGAGATTAGCTCAGACAGACAAAATAGTTGAATGGCAAATTGTTTTTTGAAAATAATCTTTATAAATGTATTCATTTACATTGTATAATGTATCGTAAAAATAATAATTGATGTTTTATATACTTATTTTTAACTTTGTGAATAATTTAGAAAATTATTCATTTGTTATGAATACTGAACCTTCATCCTTTAGACGCTGTGCAGTAGAAAAATCAATATCTGGGGATGGATGTGTAAAATGAATTAACTTTCAAGAAGTATATAATTAAAAGTTAGATAAAAAATAATTGTGTATCTAATTTAATATTATTGCATACACTAGTATCCTTCTTATATTATAGACAACCAAGCAATTCATTTTTAAGTTACGTTTTATTTCTATAAACACTACATTTCATGACCCAATTGGTCACATCTTCATGTGTACTGTAATACAGATTTTAAAAAAATTATTTTTTATTACAATTTTTTTTTCCTTGCTCTGCGTGACTTCCTTCCTCCCCCATTAGACACCTTTTTATCATTTGTTTTTCGATGCTGTTGGTTAAGTTTTAAATGGATTGATTTGTCTCTTTCATCTATTTTATCTTATTTTATTATGCCTCAATAGTTTTAAATTTATCCATTATTTGTACTTTTAGATAGAAAAAAATACAATTAGAGTTTTTGTTGCATCATACTTCTTGTTTTTTCCTTTGATTAATTCTTTATAATTTGTTATAATTTTACAATGTCATTCTAAATTTTATGTATTAAGATGAAAGAAAAATTTGTAATTTTAAAAATCTGTTTAACAATACATCTGATGATGCAAGCAATTGGGTCGTGAAACAGTGGTTTATGCAAATAAAACGTAAGTAACTTATAAATGAATTGTTTCATTGCCTGTCATATGTGAAATATACTGCTGTATACAATAGTATGTAATTAAAAGTGTATTATATAAATAAAAGTTGTGCGTTTGTATTTCAATTTAATTGACAATTTTCATTTATATTTAATATCATAATACATTTTTGCAGAGTGCTTAATGTTTTGAGACATTGGGTTGATCATCACTTCTACGATTTTGAACGAGATCCAACATTGCTGGAAACATTACATAATTTTCTTAACACAGTCAATGGAAAATCTATGCGTAAATGGGTGGATTCAGTTTTGAAGATAGTACATAGAAAGGTAAGTTGAAAAATAATTTAATATACACATTTACCCTGAGAGTTTTGATTATTCTTCAAACAAATTCTGGTTTATTTCTACATAATATGATTAAAAAAAAATTGGTTGGTATATTTGTTGAAATAGTTTGGAGTCAGTTTCACTTAATGATGCTCTAGAAATAGAAGCATCAGATACTTGAAAAAGTTTTAACACTTTTCTGGGCAATGTTTTATGAAACAACTGGGCAAGCAAGGCCCAGCAGACCCAGAAGTGAATTTGGTGTATCAGGTAACCTGTGTGTGTCTGTCATTCATTCTGATCCACGATTTGAATTAAGTGAAATCACATGTAGGAAGACTCCAATTTTTTTCCAGATCCACAACATTCAAAGAGCATTCTTCATAAAACATGTTAGGGAGAGGGGTACATCCCTACAGGGATGATTATAAGTTGAAATCCTCTCAAGACAAAACAATTGATACTATTTTAGCTGAATCATTTAGAATATTCTGTATGGAAACAGAAAGTTGATGGGGAAGGGGGTTCAATGCACTTGAATTGGTTAACTACGTCCTGCAATTTCAAGGAAGTTAAGCAATTATAGTCACTATATATTCCTAGACAGGTGACCTTTTGAGAAACCTGGTTACTAAAGGTGCTGAAGGGCTAAAAGGCACTGACTGATAGCAACATGACAAAAAGTTAAAAACTTCCAAGGAGAAGGGCACTAAGAGGTTCTCTTAGTGCCCAAGCAGGGCTAAGAGACATGTTGTGAAGACAAGACAGACATGTTGTGTAGACACAACAAATTAAAAAAGACACTTTCATTACACAAAAATATCAAATATAAAAATTAATTTGAGTATATCAGCCATTGAAAGAGTTCAACACGAGTTCCTAGGGGTTTTTACTCATAGAATTGGCATGACAATGGCCCCAGACAATCCTGACTATGATGTCATTCTCCTAAGATCTAAATGAAATAATCTTCATTGTAGAAGAAAGTGTGCTGATATTTATTTGCTATGGGTGTTTTGTTGGATTTCTTGCATACCATTGAGAGTACCGAAGTGTAACTTTAGAAGAAGACTTTCTTTTTAGTTGACATTTCTGCGAGTAACTATTGCGCTAATGAGACGAATCGCATTTATATTTTGGCGAATAGCTTGGGCACTATGACATTTCGACAACTGGAAATAAATGCCTTTCAAGATTTTTAAATTGACATCTTAAAATTAGTTTCTTCTCAGAGTAAATTCTTTTCTTTGTTAATTCTTTTTGAATTTGTATTTTTAGTATGTAAAGGTATCACCTGTTAATTGTATGAAATAAAAATTTTAAAAAAAGAAAGCTATAGATATTACTCTAAACTAGTATTTATTAATATGCTGTAGTGTGAATTAAAAAAAAATAAAAATTTACTATTTAATTTGTGACTTATAGTTAAATAATTGAAATTTTGTTACAGTCTGATCCTACAGAACAGCAACGTGAAATTCGCTTTGCATTTGACCGGTCACCACCACCTACTGAGTGGCATATTAACTGTCCTGAAGAAGAATGGACCATTTTGACTGTAAGTCAGAATGTGTAAAATAATTAAGTGCATATTGTATTATCTATTCCTTCAGTAGGAACTACATTAACTTTGTCATTACATCAGATACCTCAAAATATCAAATCTTTACCGTACTAAAGGTCTAAGTATACTTTATTAACTTGAGAATCAGCAATATAAGAACTTTGATAAATTAGATCAGAAATGGCATATATCCTAAAGAGCGTTTGGTTTGCCAGGTACTTGTTATTTAAAGAAGCATTTGTAAGAACTGAGAGATGCGTTTGAAAGAAGAAGAGATTTGCAAAGAGTATAAGTGTGAGAGGCATTCAAAAAGTTCCTGGAATGGTGGTTCAGCATCTTAATGTTATAATCTACGGCAATGGTAACCTAATTACCTTCAAAGTAAGACCCTCGTTCACCCACAAACTTTGTCAATTGTTCCTGCCATTGTTGCAAGTAGTGAAGCTTCTTTAGGCACCTGTTGGAGCTGTGCCTTTGCATTCAATTTTATTTTCTTCACAGTTTCAAATCGTTGTTTGAGGTCCATTTCCAAAGAAGGGAAAAGTCAACTGGGCGCAAAATCTGGAGAGAAGAGCGTTTGAGGGAAGATAGGAATTTTCTCTTTGAGGGATTTCTGCCAATGAGTGATGTCTGGTTTGGCGTGTTATTGTGACTTTTGCAAATTGCAAAACTTGCACATAGACGTTGTTAGTAACAGACTGTCGAGGCAGTATGAACTTATACACCAAACTGTGGATATTAAAGAAGGTATTGAGCATCACTTTGACTTTGGCTCTGAGAGTGTGTAATGATGTGGTCAGGTTGACACTGTTTTGTGCCACTCTGATGACTGCAGTTTTGTCTCTGGATCATAGGCAAATCACCAGTCCTAAACTGTGGTTTCCTTTAATACTTATCACTAAACTTACTGCTGGGCTGATAGGGTCTCTGAAGCCAATTTTTTCCCAGTTGCACATGAAATTGATTTTTGCACACTTTTCGAACTGCTATATTATGCTGATGGACCGCCTATCACCACCATGTGGTGAGAAGCAGCAACACCACTGTGCCTTGAAACATGTCCAAGCCAATTGTGCCCTCATGCGAACATGCCGTCTCCTACCACAAGAAACTGAATGCTTTCTTATTGCTATTTTGGTGACAGCATGGTAATTACGGGAACTTTTTGAATGCCCTTCGTATTATTACTATTATTATTATTATTATTATTATTATTATTATTATTATTATTATTATGAGTGTGAAATAGTCATGTAAATTTCGAATTCATTGTACTTCCAAACAAAGAATCATAAACCCAAAGTGAAATATTTCAACTTTGTAATTTGATTTTGTGCAGATATTTGTTACACATTTTCTTAACCATATAGTAGTTGCATCATATTTTGAAACTTCAGTAGTTGCATTTGACTGTTGTTGCTTGATATCAAAACACCAAATGCATGTTGACTGCATTTTGCCAAAACCGGAGAGAGGCAAAGTAAATTCTTCAAATGATTCTAGAAATAGTTAATAATGTTCATAATGATGGAAGACAAATCTTGTAACTTACGTGTGTAAAGAATTGTTTCAAAGTGTATGTACCAAATTCTTGAATTCTGACCAAAAATTTTAGCAAAACAAACAAAATTTATAAAATGATACATTGCATATACATGTGTATATATTTCATTCACTTTACCCATATAGTTAATCTCTTCTCTAATATAAAAACATGAACATACTAAAAATCTGACCAGATATCACAGAAATAGCACTTTTTGATGTTCCAGCTCCATCCTATTGAAATAGCACGGCAACTTACCTTACTGGAGTTTGATTTGTATCGTGCTGTGAAGCCCTCAGAACTTGTGGGGAGTGTTTGGACCAAGAAAAACAAGGAACAAACATCGCCCAACTTACTGAAAATGATAAAGCACACCACAAATGTGAGTAAAAAGACTATTAAGTCTTTTAAGCAATTATAGATCAAGCAGTATGTGTTGTGATCTTGAATTTACACCTAATATGTAAATAATGATAAAATGTATATATTAATGTTAAATACATAAGTATAAATAACAAAAATTCTTGATTTAAAAAAAATATATATTTCTAATAAAAAATATTTAAATTAAGTAATTTATTTTTTGATGATGGCTTATATTGTTTACATGTCATGTTTTAATTATATTTTCATTCATTTTAATAAATGAGGATTAGAGGGAAGAACTAGATTTGTCAACTTATACATGCTGCTTCAATTTCAGTTCACTCGGTGGCTGGAAAAAAATATAGTGGAAGCAGAAAATATTGATGAACGAGTAGCTGTAGTGTCAAGAATTATAGAAATAATGATGGTTCTTCAAGAACTTAATAATTTTAATGGTGTGCTTGCAGTAGTGTCTGCAATGGGTTCAGCATCAGTTTTCCGCCTGAAATATACATTCCAGGTTGGTATTAGTATTCAACTGTTAATTGTGTTTCACCCTTTGTTTAATAAAGTACAATGAAACCTCTCTTAAAGAGCAGCCCTCGTAATTCCCAGACAGACCCCCCTCTCTCCCTGACCATCATCCATTCCTATAACAGCAGTTTTCTTAATTTACTCCTTTTAAGATACCATTTTCAGGAAAATTGTGAAGACAGTAAGACTTCACTTTTACGTTTTTCAGGGGCTGAAGGAAAAAAGGGGATAAGTGAGAAAATTGCGTAACTGAAATTGAATATTATGAGCAAACTAAAACTTGATATTTTTACACTACCATTTTATTAAAAAAGATATTACCAAAAAAAAATTCAATATGCAGATTACAAAATTACTAATGAATAAAATCAGTTATCTTGATGTAATGGACATTACGATTCGCCTGTGTGGTGCAGTAGCGCACAAAAAATGATTTGGTATTAGCTTTAAAATCTCTATAAATAATTTTCTGAAGTCTTAAAATTAACTATTAATTTATGTATTGGTTTTATTTAAAATGTTATATTTAAATTGCATTGCGTCAATGGGGGTTGGTACTATGGTATACATGATGTGTATTAAGATTTTGTGTGTATTTTTAGGCTATTGCTGCAAGGCAGAAATTTTGAAAAATGTTAAAAAATATAGGTTTCTCTAAAATTAAATTTATTCCACCTCCAATTCCCTTTCCATAGCAACTCTGAAATTTTTTGAAGTCCCGCTGCTGGAGGTTGCTTGGGAGTTGACTTTGAGCTACCACTCTGCAGGCTCGCGTGGTCTTGGCCCCTCAGCTAGTCCGAGTCGAGCTTCTATATTACAAGTTTTATTACCAGGAAATCTCTTCATAGTGAATCCCCTGAAGAGGTAGAGAGGTTGCTCCGCAGGAGCGTTCTGTAGCGTATCATCTCGTGTTAAATTCCGGACACTTAAAGCAGGTCCCTCCGCGCCTTACCCATGTCCTGTGTGAGAATATTTGAACGTTATATGGTCTTAAAGAGACTTTTATTATGAACGTATAAGTGTGAAAAGCATATAAACATAAAACACATATCAGAAATAATTTAGCATGAGAATTATAGGAATTTATCTGGGACTTGCGGAAAAAAACAATGTATAAACGTGAAAAATGTTAAAAGTGCGAAACGTATAAACAGAATTTTACTGTATACAGTACACTGAATTTTAAATAGTAAAATTAAGTTTGCACAAGCATTCAATGACATCATCTTGTGCCTCAGTTTTGTTCTTGCGTACACCAGAGCGGGCAGAGGAATTCCACAAATCGTGTAACCTACACCCCTGATGTGGTATCACTGCTGCTTGCTCCATTTCAGTATTCAGAACTTCAGTTTAATTCTTTCAATAAACAGTTCCTTTCTTATTTTACCTTCCTACAAGAACATCTGGTCAAAATTGTAAATCAGGGTTATCAACTTGACACATAATACAGCATTTGAGTTGCATCCATGCATGCATGTTGCATGCAGCCAGCACTCTCCCAAGATTAATCATTTTATTTTTTAATTGTGTGAAGTAGTACAAGAAAAACAAGGTTTTGAGTACAAGAAGGTAGGGAAGGGGCAGGAAAGTAGAAAGAAAAGAATAGCAGTGTGGGGTAGTGGGGGCCACCCCACCCCTTCCACCCCTGCCTTTGTTTTCCCTTCTACTTTCTTCCCTTCCTTACTTATCCATTTCTTCTGCCTTTCTTTTCATTTTCCTCATTCTGTTTTCTTCCTTTTGATAGTGCATTAAGTATTACTATCTTCAATGGCGGTTGGTACTATGGTATACATGATGTGTATTAAGATTTTGTGTGTATTTTTAGGCTATTGCTGCAAGGCTGGAGAAAGCATTAGAGGATGCTAGAGAACTTAATAATGATCACTTTCGCAAGTACCAAGAGAAGCTGCGCTCGATAAATCCACCTTGCGTTCCATTCTTTGGTAAGGATCCAATATAGAATGGGAAAATTAAGTGATTTAATGAACTTGTAAAGGTTGGTGAATGCCACATTTAACTGAAAAAAAAGTTGATCTCCTAACTGTGAAGAGTCTTCCTTCCCCACACAAATGTACGCACACACATGTGCACAGTTATTCACATGTGCATAGAATTACTTGCACACAGAGAAAATGGTCTTGTTGATGAGGAGTGTAAATCCTTTTGCCTCGGCCATCACTTATTATTTAACACTTCATAAGGAATACCATTTTTTGGCACTCTGTTAGTTGTGCTGGGTCAAGCAACCCCATGTAATTATTTCTATTTATTTTATTTTATTTAGAGCATTCTATAGATCTATTGGGTGAAATTTATTAGTTGTCTGCAAAAGTGTTAGGAAGGTTTTCCAATACAGTTTCCAGTGAAAACACCCTTGCACCTCTTAAAGTCCACAGCTGCCAATGATCTAGGCTCTCGTTCTAAGCTCTCTCTCTCTCTCTCTACACTTATTTGTAGCCTATTTTTGTATATAATAGAAAAGTATATAATGAATTGAAGTAGATGAGGGAGACTGTTATGTCTTGAGTTGGAGGATCACCATTCTCCCTAATGAGTGAGCTCTGTGTAATCCATATTTCAGAAACAAAACAAAATATTATAATTATTAGTGTCGTTGAAGCTATCCAATGTTGAGGGCAATATTTAGTGAATGAAAATGCTGATGAATCCAAAAACTTAATGTAATGACCATACAGAAATACAAGAATATTGTTAATTTGTTGTTACTGTTTGTGTAGCAATACTTTGATGCTGCTGGAGTTAAAGTATTGGTAGGAATAAATTGACATCAAGGATAAACTGTTATTGCAGTTGCTGTGAAATCGTGTTTTAAAATATATTTTTGAATATACAGGCATGTACCTGACAAATATCCTACATATTGAAGAAGGTAATCCAGATTATCTACCTCAGGCACCTGAGTTAATCAACTTCAGTAAAAGAAGAAAAGTGGCAGAAATCACTGGCGAGATCCAGCAATATCAGAACCAACCATATTGTCTCAAAGTTGTGCCAAGCATTCGGGTAAGCACTAAAAGCAACTTCTTTTGACTTATTTGATTTTTTTGGATTAATTATGTTCTTGATGTTCATTAATATTCATGCTATAGAATTCAGCTTTTTAGCTTATTAACATCAATTCACAACCAACATTAAATTTATTAATTTCATTGTGATCAGTAGTTTGATTTTAATTGAGTTCTATTTAAAAATAATTCATTCATGGAATTGTTATTAGGGTTATGCAAGTGTTGAATTTTCTTACCAAATCTTGCTAATTATGTATTTTTAAACATCTGATATTATTTGTTTGTTGTTCTTTTAAGCATTTTTTGGAGAATTTAAATCCATTTGAAAACCAGAAGGATGCAGATATAAGTAATTACCTTTACAGCAAGTCATTGGAGATAGAGCCTCGGAATTGCAAACAACTACCTCGATTTGTAAGTTTTCTAGACATTTCAGTCTACTTAGACATAATGTAATTGTCTTGCTTCCTGTTGAAGCTAATTTACAATTTGGTCTGAATAAAGTGCTTCCCCTGAGATTAGTCTTTTTCACATAATTTAAAATGATTGAAAATTGTCTATTGCACATGAAATTAACAAAGAAAATGCCATCGAACTTCATTCTTTTGATAAATTTAACAGGAAGTTTAGTGGTATGCGATGATGTTGATGCATATAAAGTAGAAAATAATTGGTTGGTAAAAATTTCAGAAACTTTTGAAGATTGTTTGTCATTGTCATGTCTATGTCAGTTTATATACTGTATAATTGGCTTTAACATTTTGGTACATTACAGACTCGTAAATGGCCTGATCTGAACCTTAAGAGCCCGGGTATCAAGCCACGCAACTTACCTGGTCGTAGTCATCCTCCTGGTCCATTGCCATCAATACACAGTGACCGAAGTCTTGTCAGGCCTCAGGATGATTCATCTGAGGATACACCACGTACACCACTTACTGGTCCACACACTCCCCCTCATCATAATTCTTCCTCTTCTTCTGCTGACTTCAGTGTGTTTGCCCAAATTCTTATTGGCCATTGTAAGTATTTGAACCACAATGTGAATATTTTTACTAATATCTGGTATTATGAGTACAATATTGTATTTCTGAAAGATGGAATTGATGTTGCTGATAAATTATATTTTGCAGCTCCAAGTGGTAGTCATTCACCAGGTCCACAAGCTTCCATGAGTGGTTCAATTGCAAGTTTGCAATCTGCAATATCAACTTCTACACTGACTCTTGCGTCTGCTGCCAACTCACCTGCAACCTCTCCAGCTAACGCGAACAATCCTACCTTTGCAGTACCACCACCTTTTCCAGCTGGTCCTCTTCCCACACCACGGCCTCCGCCACCTCTTCCACCTCGCACCCGAAGGCGAGAGAGTTCGGTTGGTGATAGCAGCTCTCCTCAGCAGGTTTGTTTACTTCAATAGAATCATTTTATTTGCCAAGAAGAAGGATCTTTTTCTCTTCTTGCTTAAACCAGTTTTTCCTTTTTTCCTTCTCTCTCCACTACATTTCCACCACTTTTCCATCTAAAAGCAGGAAATACTACTTATGCTCTTTGACTGTATTTAAACTTGCGCTTTTGCAGAAGTTGGCTGGTGTACTGTATACTAGTGAATCTTTTCATTGGATTTGTTTTAGTTTCTTATATGTGGAGAATAGATGAAGAATTGTAATACTGCAGGAAAAAGTTCCTATTTTTCAAAATAAAAAACACATTTTGCACTTGCCTGGTGCCAATAAAAGAAATTCATCTTTTAAATGTAATAAATTAATTTCTCGAACATGTAGTATTGTCAGAATACATGTTTTGGGGGTCCTTGATACTGAGTGGGTTTTCGTGTTTTCATTTCCTTTCCTTTCCTTTTCTTTTGCTTTTCTTTCTCTCAAAAGTCGGTGTCCTAATAATACTAGCGCCTAAACTGTATATGGGGTTTTCACCAAAATTGATATTCCTTGATTAATCTTGATGTCCCATTGAATTTGAAACTGGTGTTTTAATTTTTGCGAATAAATCACTTGATGTAAATTTTTTAGAATGTTTGTAGTTCCAATGTAATTTTAAGTTAAAATTGAGATTCCACAAATATTGACTTATGGTAACCTATCTCACTTCAATAGCAGAGCATTGATAGCATATTGGATAATGCTGAAAATTTCTAATCTGAATGACAGTGTTTGATTCCTGGCATTACCAAGGCAAGAATTTTTCCTTTAAAGATTTTCCTTTGAGTAGAGCAAAACATGCACATAAAAATGATGTCCAGTTTACATTACAATGATTAATGTATTTATGTACCATGATTGTTTTTATCAGTCTCATGCCTCTTGAACCCCTGTTAACATGCTTAATTACACAAATAAGCGACTATTGATTCATCGCAAATCAACTATTTATAAAGAAAAAATGGCAATGTACAAAACAAATCAGAATTAAAAGTAACTCATATTAGTTTTGGGGATAATTATTTTTAATAGTGGTATTATTATTAGTAGTACAATTAGGAAAAAATATAGTAGGTAAATTAACATCCTTTTCGTGATAGTTCACCCAATGAATCTCTTCTCCAGTAATCATATTTATTGACAGTGCAAAGGTGTCGCAACTTGAAGTTAACATGACACCTTCTTCATCGAAACTCATTGTTCTTGCCATTTTCACTTTAGTTACTATAGACTCCTTTTCATATGATTCGGCTATAGTGAGAATTTATGGTATCGATAAAAGGCTGAACATACAACAAAATGTTACAGCATTATTATTGCCTTGTCCAAATTAAAAATCTCAGCTCTACTTCACTCTGGCTCAATTTCTAATTTTTGGCCTCTGGAGTAATAACACTTAAGTAACATTACTAGATATGTTAAGAGCTGTAAATATTACACAATTAGTTTTGATATTGCTAATTTTACTAAGAACTTTAAAACTAGAATGGGCCCAGTTCTTCTTGCTTTAAAACTTCGTAAATTTCTGTTTGTATGGAAAGTACAAAATTAGTAATGTGCGCACTTTTATACACAAATTTATAAAAACTGGAACTTTAAATTTGAATTTACTATTCTAAACCGGTTGCCTCTTGCAAAAATTAAATAAAACCCAATAAAAAATTGTATTAAAATTAAATATTTACAATTCATCGCAATTATATATTTATTGTGATTCTCAGTACATATAGACTTAAATTGATCGTTCTCATGAATATATTGTTCGACGAGATGTTATTTTTTAAGTGGTTAATATTTCACTGTGGCTTGATACTAATTTTTTTATTTGTAATATTGTTTTTTGTTTGTTTTATTATAAATTGAACAAACTATTATTATCTTTTTATATCAATTAGGCCTTTTATAACGAACAATATTTTTTTGCAGGCACGACAAGCTCCAGATGCTCCACTTTTACCACCTCGAGACCCTTCTCCACCACCCTTGCCTCCTCGTCGTGATGTGTCCTCTAGCTTGTTGATGGGGAGCAGTAGTGCCACTATGCCAAGGTCAGCTGTGGGACCTACGCGTGAATTGAGTGCAGTTGGGAATTCTACTCTTCTTCAGAGAAGAAACTCTGCTCTGGATATGCATGTAGTCACATCAACTAGTAATGTCACCAATACTTCAGTCCCAGTACCTTCCCGACGACATATGTCCTTCAATGGTCCTGTGGTCTCGTCATCACAACTGTCAGTTTTTAGAGCCCCTCCACTTGCAGGTGAGTGGTCTTAATATAATTGAGTCAGTGTGTTATTATTTTTAATTTAGAATGTGCTAATGTTGAATTTCTCTCAGTATATTATGGAGAAGAAATAAAGAAGAATTCTGTTCTTTATTTTCTCCCCAAACATTTCTTATTCCATATTCTAGTAATTTGAGACTGCAGCAGAACTGGGTTTACCTACAAGGAAAATAAAAATTGCTTAACGAGCATAGCACCCCAGCAAATATTTCATAAAATATTTGAAAGAAAGTCATAAAATACCATATTTACCCAAATATGACAAGAGAGGGGGGTGTATGTGTGTGGTTCTTTTTTTTCTTTTCTTTTTCTTTCTCCTCAGTCGAAAATTGCAGGCTCGTTTTATATTCGCAGATTAAGTCTAGTCGGTTGGGATTTAAGTTTTTACATTGCCATTCCATGTCACAAAACTCATGAAAGTTGGCGTAACAATAAACTGCAAAGATGGTAAAAATATTGCGCATAACAATACATAATTATTTTCATGTTCGTATTCTCGACATACATCGTGAATAAGCCAGGCAATTCAAACTCATTTTCTTGATAGGGCTGGTCCTGAATGGCATTGTATCAAATGAATTGTATCATGAAAATGAATGAGAGAGCTTGTTACACGATGCAGGTCTGTGTGGAAACGCGGTTTGTCGCACAGCGAATGCGAATGTGTGTTTTGAACAGAAACAGAGACCATCAACAAGTGCAGGATAGATAGAAAATCTGATGACAGAAGGGAATGTTCTTAGATGGCATGTAATGAAAAGCTATGAACAACGCAAAATTTAGTCCACAAAACTCGGAAAGTCGGAGTAAGTCACAGCTTGGAAGGACCAAAAAGAAAGAAAAACCTTTATACATGTGAAGATGATGAGGGCAGTGACAAAAAGCATGATTATGATGATATTAAGGAACAGGAAAATAATAGTCCTGCAAAAACTCGTAACATTCTCATCAACAAGGTAATTTTCTAATCAAAAAGACAGTTTCGTAACTTTTATTTTGACTAAGTAGTAATTCGTTAAAAATTCTCAGGATACCTCTTCAAAATTTGGGGGTTGTCTTATTTTTGAGGTTGACTTATATTAGGGTAAATACGATATGTTTTAATGTTTAAAATTATATAAAAAATTTAAAATGTTCATGTTTTTATATAAAAAGCTATTCTGATATAATTAGTGTTGTTTTTTAGTAAAGCTGAAATAATTTTTTCCAGAGTGGGGAGCCCAACACTAATTGGATAATGTGCTTGGGAACCCCACAGTATTTAAATCAGGCACAGGTCTTGTTAATACATTTTATTGAAATCTGTCTAGAAAGTAACATACTTACACAGTATTAAGACAAAGGTCAACTTTGTACAGTGCCAACCTGGAAATGAACCAAAAGTACTTTTCACAGTAGTACTGAAAGTACAAAAGTTAGAAAACAAAATAGCACTATCAACTTCCAAATGGAAAAATTAAGAGTGTATTCCCATGAACATCAATTAAATTTGTATATCACGTGGACAAATTGTCATAAAAATGAGGTTTCAAATAAAATATACTACATCACATAGCAAAAATCTTTCCATGACCAACAGAGTTCATAGACTCGACTTATTGGCCTCATAGAGGGACTCTCCCGATTATTCATGGGAACAATCACACTCTTACCCTGTAATGTAATTACTATTGTTCAGAGAAATTTAGACATTCGGGATACTTGTGTTAATTTTTCCGTAAATATTGAAATCTCATTAATTCTATTTTCAAGGGGGCTAAAAATGTTTAAGATTGTAAGCTATAAAATGTGTTATCAAAAAACATTCAATTTATAATTTTCTTGTTTCTTCAGGTCATTATAATTGGGATAAGAAACAAATTTCCATTGATGACAGTACTGCTGCTTTGTAAAACATTTGAATTGTGTTGTATGCGAATGTTTCTTAAAAATTTTAAACATACTCACTGGAATCATTAAACACGTAAACAATAAATTTAAATGAATTCAGGACAGGTCTTAAAAATAGAAGTATGGTAATGGAACATTCTAAGTATGCCTATCTGGGATTTGCAGAAATTGCTTGTGCAAATGTGGGAATCGACTTTATGTCCCTTTCTTAGGGTAGTATTTTCGTGCTAGTCACTAGTCAAATACTCAACCATTTATTACATCTACATTAAATTATCATTAGCTGCTTGTGTTTAAATAATTATTTGTAGGTAGTTAAGAAAAGTGTGGAATTATTTCTCTATAAAAACAATGTTTAATGGTAAATTTAATCTCATGTATGATTTTTCATTTGCATAAGTTGGCATTACCTAGTAGGCATTAAGTTGATTTTGGCTGAAAGAAATCCAAGCTGGCTTTCTCTTTCTATGTTGAATATTAGTCCATGTCTTTTACATCGAAAGTAAATTATCATCCAATTGTTTGAGGATGTGACAAAATTTTAGGTTGGTGTGGTTTTCAATCGTTCTTGAAGAGCAGTGCTAACAACAGTGATTTGTGTGACATCTCATAGATCGAGAGGCAGTACAGCGGTGGTGATGGTATAACCTGTAGGTATCGAACTGTTATACACAAGTTCGCGGTTTCAAACCCGATTGAAGTCGTGGATTTTTAAAGGCGAAAAATTCCTTCGTACACCTTCCTTTGGAGGGAAAGTAAAGCCGGCTGTTCCATGTTAGTAGATTTACTGCATGAAAAAGATCCTCAGGCCTAAATTAAGCCTCTTAGCTAAATTTAAATCTTCTGTTTCATCGCCTGAGTGATACCTCCTTTCTCCGCTAGTGGGTGAAATTAGTGTAGCTTCTTAGCTAATTTAGGTGGTCAGACAGAAGAGCGGGCCTAATGGCCCGAGTCTCGCCATGTAAACTAAGGCATCAATTCAACTCCAATTCAATTCAGTACATTTGTCAGTTACTACTCAGAATGCCCAGTGAGGTAAGTTACATTAAATGTAGTCTGATTCTTCAAAAAATCTACTGTGAATCGAAAAAAAGAAAAAGATACTTTGTCTTTATATCTTCATAAGCAACTTTAAAAACCCTCTACCCCCAAAGCTTTCCCATAAGAGCCTGTTCTAATTTAAATTTATTTTATTAAAAATTAGGCTGGTAATGGCCAAATTTGTTCCTACCAACGTGAACAGAGATTTTACTTTCAATTAAAATATTTTAAGGCCTACTTCGCTGTTATAAAAAAATATACTACCTTAAGGGTTACTATACGACTAATATCTTTGATATTAGATCTGGCAGATGGGATTGATTTGCCCACATAATTAATTGCCTGCAACCCTGGCAGTGTAAAAATCAAAATAATTAGAAGTATTCTTCTAAATATGAACTATGTGATTTTCAATGCTTTTTGTAGTGCATTCTAAGGATTACTTCCAGATTCTCTGTGCCTCTTAATTTGCCAAATTCAGCTTTATTCATATTTGTTAAGTTGGCATAAGTGTGTGTTCAGATTATAGAAAAGTGGTTGTCGTCGTTCTTTGTCATGAAGATAATGAGAATATAATTGTTTTCGTTTGCTTAGTCCTGTGTCCAGCTGGTAGTACAAGTTCTCTGCATGGTGTCAACACAACAGCAGGTAGTGGAAGCAACCACCACCATCACCCCCATCATCACCATCACATGCTGGATCGCAGTGCTGACCTGAACACACCGAAACTTCCTCCAAAGCCCTGTTTGACACGTCCACCTGCATCTCTTCATCCTCCTACATTTAGTAAGCACAGTGGTGGACACATGGCCAGCTAGTAGATCCAAAGCCTCCAGCAGTGTGCTCTGGGGGAGCGGTGGTGTGCTCTGGAGGCAGAAAGACAAGGTGCAACTTTGATGGACTCGTTAATATTCCTTGTTCTGGTTACGCAGTAATTCTCTGCATGGCAAAGGGAGGGAGAGTAAAGAGAGGTTGACAGTGCCATTTCCATAATGAGGGAACTGTGTAGGTGATGATGCCCTTGCTTTAAAATTATTTCTGAAAGCTTGAGGGTGCATGTATTTTTAGAATGCTCTATTGCCCTATGAAGTAACGAGCAGGTAAAAAAGCTGTCCAATATTGCAGAGTGGCTGTATCCCAGCAGCTATAATCAAATATATGTGCAATATATGTGTGACACGCAACTGGTATTAATTCTTGTAAATATAATGCAGTGTTTATTTGCGGTTAATAGTACAGAATGAAATGAATTTTGATATTGTTCCTTTTAGTATACAAACAATTGTTTTATATTGTTATGAAGTATATTTTGGTTTATTGGTATTAGGCAAATGTATTCAGGTTTTATTTTGCAATTTTGATTATAATCTCTGTAATTCTGTCACATTAGCTGGAGAACTAATAAGACCCCTGAACATGTCTTTCTCTACATCAAATTATTTCTTAAAATTTCTTGTTGAATCTTGAAATGTTGTGTCCTCTGTTTATAATGTTCTTATCTTTGGTGTTTGCGTCTTTCGGTGTTACATGAGCACTCGTGGATTTTTGCAAAATATTTTTTTCTTTTTCTAACTAAATAATAACAAGTATTGTATTACAATTGATTTAAGACTGTCATTTTACTAAAACAGAAATCACATTTCATCACAGTACAATAATTTCATAGATCTTTGAAATGATTATTAATGTGATGAAATAATAGAAAGAATTTCATGTGAACAAATTTGATTGGTAACAATAATATCAGAAGTACTTGTTGCATATTTTTAGATGAGTCATATCGTCTACATCAGTGACCTATGCCTCCCAAAAGTTCCACGAATCAGCCATTGTATAGATCGTAATGAATTGTTCTCTGCAAAAACAAATTAAACATTTTTAATTGTGAGTAATTTTGTTGCGTTAAAAAAAGTTCGTGTGAACACTAGGTTTTTCTCTTCAAAGGGTCAGTTGGTTTCAAATGCACTAACAATAAATACTATGTTGTATACCTACCTATTTGGTAACACACAATCTACACGTGTGATCGTTGGATGGTTAAATGGCTGCTGTTTATTGGCTAAGTACCATCTAGTGCTAATAAGAACTCAAAGTGATCCATTGCACATAATTCACTCCAACTATCAGTTTCTAATGTCAAAATTTGTTACTATGACTCAATGAGGTAATTGATTCCTATGCAGAATATAAGCGAATTTTTAATTCGAGGAGCCAAGAATGCTTAGTGCTGCCCAAACAAACACTGTATGGTTAAATAAGTAAATACTTTGACAGTTTTAAAATTAGATTGTGGGTAAAGAATACTTTAGTTAAACCACCACACAAAGTAATGTTTAATGTTTCACACTTAAAATGTGCATTCTAAAACCACTGAGAAGATGATCACATTGTTGCACATTATTAGTGCAGTAATTTGACTGTTGCTAGATCAGGTCATATATGATTGAGAGTTAATGGAAGAACCTGCCCCAATGAGTTGGTCTATTTGTTGATTGTGAAATGGTTTATTGTGAAATGTTTTGCAAAATGTGTACAGTCCTTTTTCAACATGGTAAAGTTGTATCTGTAGAAATTTGCCTTAATGAGACCATGTCTAGTAAAAGTTGCAAAGTTGTGACAGAAGTGAAACCAGTTATAGAAAATTACAGAAAACAGGTTGTTTTTTTTCCCCTCCATATAGACTAATGAATTTTTATGCTGTTTACAGGAAAATTAACAATGATCGTTAACATCATCCTTAAATAAAGTTTCTTGGCAATTTTAGAGTTTCTGTAAGCCCAAGTTATTAATAAATCATCTAATATTTCGGTTTTGTTGTTTTGGGGATATCTCCAAAAGGATCTTATGTTTGGAAATGTAATAGTGATCTTTCATGAAGCTCAGGCATGAGCGATTTAAGTGCTTTACATGGAAACGAAACAGTGTGTGCCTCTCTTTTGACATCCTTTCTTTAAAATGTAGATGTCAATTTCAAGAATACTGCTGCATGCTAAACTTTCATTGACACATTACTGTCTTCTTGTAGCATTATTGGAAATAAAATACATTTTCCAGTAGTCAGAGGAAGATCTTAGCAGTGTACATAAACTTTTATAGAATATCTATCACATTTAACCACATAAGAAGCAGAAATTATTATTCAAGATTTAGAGCACTGCTTATCTCTCTCTGACCTCTGGATGATGTTCATGATGACTCTGATAGGTAGTCAGTGTGTAAAGCATTGCTGCAGGCATGCTGCCACTGTGTTGGGTGCTTGTATTGTGCTGTGCAAATTTTATGCTCTATACTGCAACTACAAATGGGTCTCTCCTCAGTTTTCATGTTACACTTTAAAAGTAGCCCTCGAGCAACTGCTTTTGTCAAGACTGAAGTGGCTAGTCAAGTCTTGTTGCCTTACTGTGATCTCTGGAGAACCCTTAAATATAAACAGAATTTCAATAGCTGGTTGCTGCATGGTGTAATGTTGTTTCTGTAGTGTTGTATGTGGATCAATGCTGAAGTTTTAAATATTACAGTGAAATAAAAGGCAGAAATGCCAGCTTACTTTTGTTCTGTGTTTATAAATATTTTATGCGATTGCTGCATGCCATGTAGCATTGGCCTCATTGTATTGTCTCATGTCAGAAGATTAGATTATTCTTTGACAATGTATTGAATTGCTGTATAGTGTTAAATTAGTCTTCCTGGTAAAAGAAAATAATGTTAGTAGATAAGAGATTTTTCAGTTTTACCAGTAAGACTATGAATATAAACATATATAATCTAAGATCATGAGTTTGTGTGGACAAACTTTTCAGACATACATATATACAAACATCTAGTAGAATTTGAAGGTATGAAACATTAGTGTAGAATGTATTGGAGTAATGTCCTGTATAGAAAGTAGCAGGAAAGAGACTGGCCCTAAAGGAAAAGGCCATGTCATAAATCCTGGATGTATAAATTTGTAGTTAATGAGTACAATAGCCATCCGTGTATCATAGCTTTGAGAAAGACAGTTTGTATGTGCTGTTGATAGTAGATGGGGTCCAAATCACTTGGTGAATAGTGCGGAGCAGGGGCTAAAGCCAAGGATCAAAGGTTTCTCTACAAGGCCATAGATTGTATATAGGATGTAGTGGTGAGTACTTTTGTTAATGAAATTCGTAAGGAATTGCATTTGCTATCTTAAATCTGCACAGACAGCATTATTTATATGCAATTTAAAAAATACAACTTGTATTTTGTGTTTTAAATGCATATTGATTCATTCCACCAAATCATGTGGTTTTTTTTTTAGAAATGAATGTATTAATATTTTTTTACTTATGGAGCCAGAAAGCCATAGTGCTGTTGTGGAAATGTAGATGCTCTTGTTGACATTTTCAGTAAGAAAATAGATTATAAACAAAACTAGTCATTTAAGATAATGTTAAATTATTAGTAAATGCAAAGGGAGAGAGCTTTTTAATGTTTTTTTTCTGATAGGGTGTTTTACTATACTCATTCCTGCATTATTACTGTATTATGGTCTGCATCTGTCTTGGTTATTGAAATACTAAGAGTTCTAGAAAACAATCTTATGGTAGATTTGAGTTTGGCAGCATTACTTGAGAATTAATAAGTTTCCTAAATCCCACACAATAAGAGAATATTTTGAAATTATAATTTTTTTTCCCCTTCCATTTATTGTTGCCTTAGGTGCTTTTATAATATCTGACTGATGAAACGAATTTACTTCTCTGAAAATAATGTTTGAAAGCATATTTTGAAACCACACCTGGGCAGAGAATATTTTAAGATAACAGATGCAATCCAATAAAATATTTTTGTATGTCTTAGTGCACAGTTTGTCCAGTCTCACATATAGGAAGTCTTGAGTGTGCATTATATGTAGATGTTTGTAGTGCTGATGAATTTATAGGATGAAAAGGACTATCATAAATGCTAAACATTTGCCCTAATTTTAAACCTGCAGCTGTTATTTGTTAATGTCATCATATGTGCAGTGATGTTGTAAAGTCCCTGGTTTTAGCCATTTTTATATTAAGCTTTTTACATCAAGACTTTGTATGTGATACCCAAAGGGTGGTTTCATATATCAGATCTCCTTTCATGTAATTGAGAAAGATACTTCATATTTTTGTATCAACAGTAACGTTCATATTTTAATAGTTTTTGGATAATGGTTGTTGTGCAACAATAACAATTGACAATTACTGTTTAGCCTAGGGCAGTGACTGATGTATCAACAAGTAGCTTCAGAATTTGGAATGGGTAGCCAGTTGTTTTTCTAGAAAATGTGCATGACATGATTTGCTTGTGCCGGTGTTTATATCGTCATGTGAAAATGCAAATCTATTTAGTTGTTCACTTATGTGAACAAATTATCCTACAATAACTCTATCTCAACATTTTTGTTCATGAAAACTGTAAATAGCAGGAGCCAGTATTTAGTAACTATTCCATAATATGACTACTCATTTGTTAGCTACATTAGTATAGTGACTAGTACAAGTTATAGTAGTTAGTGCCACATTGAATATTACTGATTTAATATTGTGCGACGAACGTACATTGGGAGGATTGTGATGCTGATGGGAGACCAGTGGTTTACATGAAATCATGAAAAGAATATTTGATTATTTATTATTAAATTACAATGTAATATTAATTTCTAGAACCTGAGAGATACTATATCTAGATTAGAGTGGTTTTGACTCTAATAGTTTCATGCCAGCAACTCCTAGTAATGATGTAATCTTGTTACCTGTGATACAACAAAGTAAACATGTTTTGTGAAATGATGAGGTGCTTGAATTATATTTCATTTTCTAAAATGTAAAGCCTAGCATATTGTATTTTACACACATTGGTCTTTATTTAGATATGTGTTCATTCCAATAAACAAGATTACAATTGCCCGAATTCAGTTATGTAACGAAATTATTGTAACGTAATTGTATCCTTTTTTAAATTAATTATCTAAAATTTCTTGCAGAATTGTTGTGCAGTCACCATTTGAGCAGTTTTTTATTCAGATTTAGAACCATAATCATTCCATGGATATTCCATGGGGGAGAAAATGAAAATATCTTTATTTTATGGATAGATTTGAGAGTTCATGTGAAAGCTGAATTAACATCGGCTATTGTTGTGGTGTTTCTTTGCTCAGCATCAATTATGAAGGCCATAATGACTTTGGTACATTGAAATAAAATAGTGCGTTGGAGATTTGAGCCCCTGTCCCGCACAAAATTGAAGCTGTGCAGGTTTCCTATTGATAAATGGTTTGGTATGAAATTGTAAATTGTACACAAAGTGTTAAAACTGTGATATGTAGTGTTAATTTTTGTAGTGATAAGATTTTAAATGTATGGGATGTTGATGTACATAAAAATATATATATATGAGGATGAATTATAGACATATGATTAGAATTATTTAGCCCAGGAGTATTTGTGAACAAATGTCAAAAAAAGAAATTAAATATGCCAAATTTTTGTTAATATGGGAACATGTTAATATAAAATGACGTTTATATAAGTATATACCTGTGTATAAACATATATTTATAGTGGAAATAATTTCTTCTACATGCACCTGGAAATGAAAACCACAAAAGTAAGATGTCTCTTGTAAGCAAAGTAAAATAAAAATATTTGAATGAGTATGTTCAAATGTGAAATTTGTTTTTATTTATTGGCATGAAGCAACAAACCTCTCCCACTGAAGAAATTGTTCAGTTCATCAACACGATTGAGTGTTGTCTTAATAACAGACAGCTCAGTACCAACTATGAACTATGTAGGTGATACATAAATGTACTTTATTATGTCCCTTTGCATTGTCTGTTAACAGATATTGGCGACCTAGAATGATGCCAAGAGACTAGGAGGCATATACCCTATTCACCTCCCGCAAAGCTCGAGATGCATTCAACTAGCTTAGTCAAGACCAGTTGATTTAACTTTTTCACAGTCTGCTATTATAAGCATGAATACGTGATAAAAATCATAGGTGTATGAATATAATACTGTAACGTACTGCCATGTGGCCGTGTTCAGTTACAAAACCATGCAAAATGAACTGACATAATCAACTATCATGAATAATATATATTTGCGTTTCGAACTCATTGAATGATAATGTGTATATTTTTTAATCCTAATTAACTGAAATTATTAAAAATTGTGATGTGATAAGAACAGAAAGTAGGCCATTATTGGATTCAGGTAACCAATTTTTCGTATAACATAAGTGTACACGTAGGCTTCCGCGGCTCGAGTCCATTTCTTCTAGGCCAATCCTGTCCGGGTGACGCCGCGTCGTTTGGCAGATAGGCCTATCTGCCAACGACGCGGCGTCACCCGGACAGCCTAGAAGTATAAAATAAGTGTCAAAATCAACATCTTAAGAAAAAAAGAACATTGACTTATTAAAGAGTGCAACTAGTACTATCCGTTTGAAGAAGAAATGTGGAGCCGTTTTTTGAGAAAATGGCGTTTGAGCGTTTCTGAAAATGCGAAATCCTGAGCTAGTTGCCACAGAAAAGGGTGTTTTCGAGAAACTTTGTGACGTTATTTAAACCACTGGTACCCATAAATATGTGAACAAATCGCCGCTAATGTAAATATTAACGACGTGAGAGACGAGTAAAAAATTTTGTAATTTTGGAAAAAAACAAAAGAATAGAGCAATGTGGCTTTTATGTTATCTTGTAAAGTGCATTTAGCATAATCCATATCAAAGTTTAAAGAAAAAAATGGACCGTTTTTGAGAAAATCTTGTTTTTGTAATTGCACAAATTTCACTCAATATTGCGCGAAAACTATTAAAATTTTCAAAAAGATGCACATGACCTTAATGAAAGAACAACTTATGGACGACACATTTCATTTCAAGGAAAACTCACTATCTTTAATTTTGTAGTTGTAAGAAAACCCCGAAAAAAATTCAAACTTTAAATTTTCGAAAATTCAGTGTTAACCGTGAAAATCGAACATATGCCACTTGTATAAGAGTTTCTGACTATATTCATGGAAGAAATTTAAAGAAAAAGTTTGGAACCATTTTTGAGAAAATTTTGAAAATGTCCCAGAGATTTCATGTACAGTACCTCCAAAACCTAATGAATAATTTTCAAAATCGCAGAACTTCGATTCAGGCCAAATGGACAGGGGTATCTTCAAGTTTGTAAAAATCCTACGCCAGTGGTGTTCACATAAAACAGACGGACGGGCGAACGTTGTGAAAAAGAACACTTTTTCGGTATCAGGAAACCCCAAAATGCGTATTTCCGTTCAAATCTCAAAATCGATTTTCCGCAGCACTACATAACTTTCCCTATATTACGTACTATATTTCTCCGTATATACGTATGTATATGGAAAGTAAAAAGGGAAATCCATGTTGTTACATTAACGGCGATTTTTTAACATTATTATGTTTATGAGTACATGCGCTCTAAATGACGTCTAATAAAGTTTCTTGAAAACTCAATAGTTTTCTGTTAAAAAGAGCACAATTTTGCATTTTCAGAAGAGCTTAAACGACATTTTTTCAAAAAAAAGCTCAATTTCTTTCTTCAAACTTTTCGTACGGATAGTTCTTATTGCACTGTTTATGATGAAATGGAATTAATCTTGCTGTATTCTCTTTTTTTCCAACAGTGCACAAATTGTTTTGAAATCTCTCTCCCCGTTAAAATGGACTTCTCCAGCGATTTGAATTCATTATTGTAATTGTAAGAGAACGTTCATCAAATGGCTTCAAATAAAGTTTTTCCAGATCACAAAAGATTCCTTGAAAAAAAGTTTCAAATTCCGCATACACAAGAACTTAAACGATTTTTTCCCCCTAAAAACGGTCCTAATTTTTCAACGCAAATTTCCATAAGGGACGATGTTTTACTCTTCTTTAATATTTTAAAAGTAATATTTTGAATGTACCACTAAGGAACCGAAAATTGAGAAAATTGCAAAAGTGTATTTAGGGTAGCAATGGATAGGGCTGCAAGGGAGGATGGGGGCAAGATCGTAAAGCTAGCACACACCAAGAAAATTAGAAAACATTACTTCGAAGTCTGTGCCATTCTGTAGCACCACAAGTTTCTTAATGAAATCTGCTTTTAAATCGATATCTTTAAATAATGTAAAATGAAAATCTATAAAGTTTTGAAAATTGTTAATGCAAATGTTCAAATTTGTTTTTAAAGTGTTGGGAAGGTTGAATTAATGTGTGACGCTGATTGGGTAGAAATAAAGTAAATGGCGTGCTGAATCTTAAGTACCTCAGAGCGATGAAAAAAATTGTTTGGAAACACTTTCGCAGGTTCATGTAGTACGTATGAGTACATGTACATCTACGAGTTCATGCAGTACGTACGTACAACTAGCAAAACCCGCGCGAATACATTGCAGAGATCTGTAGAAAAGTTACCACAGAAAATATTGCATAACCATGAATAATATACAAGGTGTGGCTATTAATATCCAGGACTGCTCCAATAACACCAGAACAGATGATGTGAAAAACGTGTTCCTTTAATCACAGTTTTGAGTGGGAAACAAAAAAAATTCTGCGGGGACCAAGTCAGGAGAGTATGACGGATGGTACAGCTCCACTACCTCATGCTTAACCAAAAACCTCTTCACTGGCGACGCAATGTCGGGGCGGGCGTTGTCATGCAACAGAAACCAACTCCCATTCTGTCGAAAACGGACGCAGACTTCTTTTTGTTTCCCAGACACAAAAATGTGATCAAAGGAACACGCTTTGTGAATGTTGAAGACATCAAGAAGAATGTGACGTCGACATTGAAGAGCCTTCCGAAAGAGGACTTTAAAAGTTGTTTCCACAACTTATACAGCAGAGCACAGAAGTGTAATATGGCAGATGGGGATTTCTTCGAAACATATTAAAAGGTTACGTTTATATTATTGAGCATATCTGGGATACCTTATAACGTGCTGTTCAGAAGAAATCTCTACCCCCTCGTGCTCCTACGAGTTTATGGGCAGCCCTGCAGGGTTCAAGGTGTCAATTACCTCCAGCACTACTTCAGATATTTGTCGAGTTCATGCCACATCGTGTTGCAGCACTTCTACGGACTCGCGGGGGTCCTTCAGCGGCAGGTGTATCAGGTTTTTGGCTCTTCAGTGTATAATAATTAAATGTAAAATTGCTATATTCACCAAAACTCGCTTTTTACACTATTACTCTTCATTTCCACATCTTATTTGCAAAGCGAAATCATCTGTTCGTTTTCGCAGATTGTTTCATCTATTTATTTATTTACGTCAAAAACAGTTAAAAAAAACTGTGTGTGACCTGCTATGGGGAGAAGTTAATTTGAAGTTACATTTATGTCCAGAAGCAAAACAAGGGGCCATCTCAGCATTTCTCGAGGATCAAGTAAAATGGACGAAAACCTGATCGTGATGGGGACATTGACCCAGAAGCTGGAGTACAATACTTATTACAGATTCTTTACAATTATACAAACTAAATGATATATATGCATTAAATGTCATTGTTAAAATTAATATTACTTTCCTTTTGGATGCTCGATAATTGTATTGAAACAGTTGTGCAGCAGAAAATATTTTACTTGGGAAGTAAACTTTTGTATCGAATTTAATTGTTTAATGCCATCTGGCAAGGTGTTGAAAAATAATGTACATGCATTATGTGTGAATTTTTTGTAGTGCGCTGTAGATACTGTTACCTGATGAATATGATTACTACGTCGAGTGTTATAGTTATAGACAACTGCGGTTTCTGAATATATATTCCCTCCCTTAAGTAAGTCATTTTTGACAAAATCCACTGATTCATATATGAAGAGACAAGGTAATGGAAAAATACCTAGATTAATAAAGAGAGACTTACAAGAATCACGTGGGTGAGATTTGCTTATTATTCATACAATTCGTTTTTGTAATCTAAAAGTCTGGGAGCTATATGACGTATTTCCCTAGGATGTTATGACAAGTCTCAGGCGGGAATGAACATTCGCAAAATATACATAACGAGCAGTGTGGAGTCTGACTGAATTTGAAAGAATTCTGTCAACATAGCATAAAGAACTTAATTTAGTGTTCAATTCATTTAAGTGGACGTTCCATTTAAGGTTTGACTGAATTGAAAGACCTAAAAAGTATATACCTTACATCATATAACCGATACCTTAACATCACTCAATGGCACGCCGTTCATTTTGAGTGAAGTGCCGAGCTGTTTATTTGAAATAGAGAACTGCATTGAAACAGTTTTCTTTTCATTTACTATTAATTTGTTATTACGGAACCATTTTGAAATATCTGATATTTATATTTTACGGTTTTTTTATTGCAAAGAATATTTGTATCATCCGCAAAGAGAACTGTTCTTCCGTTTCTAATTGTCGAGAGCAAATCGTTTACGTACAGTAGGAAGAGAATAGAACCTAAAATCGATCCCTGCGGGACCCCACATGCATTTGGCAAAGAATCAGAAAGGTGTGTACATAATGTTTCATTATTCCAGTAAGGTATTTCTACTCTCTGAAATCGTTGTTTGAGGTACGAAAATAACCAATTTAGACCAACACCACGAATTCCATACGAAGGTAATTTTGAATGTAAAATGTTATGATCAATGACGTGAAAAGCTTTTGAAAGCTCTAAAAATATTCCAATAGGTTCTTCGTTTTAATCCATGCATGAGGCGACATTTGAA